GGGAGGGTAGAGGGAGAGTGGGTTGGAAAGAGGGAACCGGTTACAAGGAACTACATGTGACCTCCTCCCTGGGGGACAGACAACAGAAAAGTGGGTGAAGTGAGACGTGACAAAATAACAATGTATACATTATCAAGGCTTCATGAGGGAGGAGGGATTGGGGAGAGAGGGTAAAAATGAGGACCTGATGCCGGGGGCTTAAGTGGAGAGCAAATGTTTTGAGAATGATGAGAGCAATGAATGTACAAATGTACTTTACACAATTGATGTGTGTATGGATTGTGATGAAAGTTGTATGAGCCCCTAATAAAACGATTAAAAAAAAAGAATATGGTAAACAAGTCTTGGAGGAAAGAAAAAATAAACCGTAGAGAATCCTTTAGAGTTAGAGTTTATATCCCCCATTTTGTCATATAGTTTAGTCTTGACTGGGCTGAGTATAGAACTACTGTTAGGTGCCAAAGAGGAACTCTTGTAGCATAGTGGGTGACATGCTGGACTGTTAATGGCAAGGTCGGTTGTTCATGTCCACAAGCTGCCCTAAGGACGAAAGATGAGGCTGTCTCCTCCCATAAAGAGTTACCATCTCAGAAACCCTCAGGGGGCAGTTCTACTCTACTCTATAGAGCATGAGGAGCCGGAATCAACTGGGTGGCAGTGAGCTTGTTTTCATTAGTTTTGGTCAGTTTCAGATCTTACTGTATCAAAAAATAACAAATTCAGGGATGGCATTAATTCTATTCCTTTAAGTGTCAATGATTTTTTCCCCTCTACATTTATTATCATATATGTTTTATGCAAACAAAAGGAGGAAGACTAGAAACTGAGAAGTCTTATCTAAAGTATGAGGCAATGGTCTCCCTGCATTGTTCTTTACCAAAAATAGACTATACAACAGAAAAGGCTTTGTTCAAAAGGCTGAGAGGCTTTGGTTACAAGTGGAAAAGGCAGTCATGTGTGGTAATTCTCAGTCATAATGAAGCTCAGCGATGTATAAGTCATTGCTTAGCAGTGCTTGGGTGCACGAAGGAGTGGAACTGCTCATGTGACCCAAAGTTCCAAGACCTTGTGTATTCCGACCAGACAGCAGAGCTGCTGGCCCTCTCAGTGGCTTTCTAAGGCACGTGACGGCAGAGAGTGGCAGGGCTGCTTCCTAAGCCACCACCCCAGTGAAAATGAAACTGCCCATCCTGCTACTCTGAGCTCTCCAGGAGCCTGGGTGGTTTGCTATTTACAGAATCGATTAGGGGGCAATAAGTGCTCCCTCAGAGCAAGGACTGGATGTGGGGGTGGGGGCAGGGGCGGGATCCAAAACAGGGGACTTGAAACACCCAGGAGCAACTGTCTACCACCTCGGAGATGAAGGATGGCAAACCTCATCTCGGAGGTATTTTAAGTAGCTGCAAAGCCCAAGTGGCTCCAATTTTAAGCCTGTGTTTAGGTCAGGTTTGCAAAAGTGCTACACCTCTTTACAGTGTCTAGGCACCACTTCTGATGCCAACCCGGGCTTTGTGTTTGAAATGGGCGGCACATACGAGCAAACAAGACCACCTACAGTAGACGGTACGTGCCACGACCAAGCTCTTTGGCACCCAGGTGCACACGCCGGCAGAGTGCTTTCAGGAAAGAGAAAATAAAGCTCAAGGCACCGTGCCAGGATTATTGCCAAAATCTTGAGTTGGTTTCACATTTTATGTTTTACAGAGATATATAATCATGTCTTCACAGCACGTTTAAATCTGACATACAGCAAAACAAAACTCAAGCACCATATCGACGGAAACTCAGGAACTTACACAAGCTGCTCTGCTGGGCCCCTGCAGGAGCCCAAAGACGAGGGGAGCTGTAACCCAGAAAATCACCTACTCACAGGTTAGAAAATACAGTGACTCAAATGGAAACAAGAGAGTTGTTTTAAATGAATATTTGTTACTAAGAAAGGCACTTCACACTAACATCTATCTTTGTTACTACTGTGCGCCCTTTCATTGAGCACATGAAAGGCTCCCTTCTCCGTCCTGAATGGTGCTAGAGTTACAGAACAAGGGGCTCCTACGACAGGTCAGTGATCAAACGGAAGGAGAGTCAGCCAGTAGCCGAATCCTGTCCAGCTAAACAAGTTTCCGAAGCTAAGGCTTCTTAGCGTCTGCTACATTCAAGGAACTGCCAGTCACCGTTGGCTAGGCCGCCAAGCCCTTTCGGCACAGTCAGTAATGATTACGTATTTGCCCAACTTCTCAACTCCGACTTTCCAAGAAGAAAGCAAGAAAAATCACTTTATGAATCCCATTTTCTGCACAGAACAAGGTGATTTTAAACATGCGGCCTCACCTTTGTTGTCAGAAGAGAAGCATACATGGACTATACGGAGTGTCGCACAGGGGGCTTCAAACGTTCGTAGGAAAAGTGCCACACTCATTTCATTCCATTTTGCCATAAACCTTCTGAAGCTCCCTCTCCTTGCCCTAGTGATCAAAGCCTGTTTATTTAACCAGCCTTATCTTTAATTAGCACCAGTCTTTGTCTTGGAGCTTCACTGACCGAAGTATGTACATTCACATGAACAAACCAGTATGCATGGGGAAAAAAGACACACAGTGTTTTGCTAAGCTTGAGAACAAAATGCAAGCTGTCCCCCCACCTACAGAAATGGTCATTCCGCGTCTTATTGGCAATGCAGCGCGCACCCAGCCTCCTCCTCCCAGAAGCCCTGGGAAGCTCGAAGAGTCACTGCCTCTTGTGAAAGAAAGCAAAGCCACGAGCAATGGCTGCTGACTGCACGGGCACATTTAATGTCCAACCCAGCAGGCGATGCCATGAGGAGCAAGGGAAAGTACAATAAAGTTAATTTTAGAAAAGGTCAGCAAAGACTGTTCAAAGGGCAAACATTCCTGCCACAAACGACGTCTAGTGCAGGCCCAACCACAAGCAATGGCGGATTCAACAGGCATGGCTTAACAAGGCAATAAGATCAGAAACATTTACCCTTCCAGCTCAGAAATGGGTCGCCTGTCTAGGAAAAGCCGAGGCGGCCTAGCAGACTCTGTTCTTGTACAGGATCTGTGGTTAAACAGAAACCTTAGTCCACACGTGTTTACCAAGGTAGGGTGATATGCAAGTGAAACGAGTCTGCACAAGTTGTGATCTGCAAAAGGTACTTACACAGCCTCCAGCAAGGATTTCTGCTGCAAGTGGGACCGAACCGTCTCTGCGCATACACTTATCTCTCACAAAATCATTCACCTTGAAGAGAAATATACAAAGTCATTAAACACGCGTAAATATACACCTGTGAACGTGTTGTCTTCCCCCCCTGCCAGTCGGTTGGAATAATCACACAGGGCACACATCAACAGAGCTTAAAATCTGAGCCCGAGAAGCGCTCAGAACAGCAGGCTTGCCGTTCTTGAAAGGTGTACATGTTTTACCCGCGTTCCTGATATTTCAGGAAGACAAATGGAGAGATCCTGGCTTACCAACCCAAAAATGAAATCTGCCCTGCAGGAGCGACGGCATCAACAACCGAGGCACACTGACAGTGGACTGGCAGCACGTTACGGGCAAAGGGTATGTTACCAGGTTTGATTTCAGAAACCCTTTCAAGCCCTCTACCTAGGCAGTTTCCACAGCACTCATCACCATGGCCAATTTGCCCGAACAGATTTTCCAGCTTCAAGTAGGAATTCAGTATCTAAAAAATTTTTAATGATTCTCAAAGACTGTTAATAGCTTTAATTAAGTATAAATTCTCAAAATGGCATGGGCAACAAGTGGTTTTAAAGAACAGCCATGTTTTGGGCAGATGTTCCATGGCCCCAAAAACAGAATGGCAGAAAAAAAAAAAGACAAACAGCAAAGTAAAACTGAAGTTTAATATTGTGGGACTTCATGCCCTTTTTTATAAAGGTCCTATCTCTCCATCCCATAAACACTAAAGACTTACCATCTGTCAGGCACATGCTAGCCAGTGAGGAAACAACAACAGCAAAGATGCTGTCCATGAACTAACTGGGGAAGGATCCAATTTCAAGGTGAACCTCAATCTTTCATACAGGCTTTGGGAAATGTACAGAATACACCTTTACCATAAAGTCCAATTGACAGTGGCACGTGTGATTGAGATAGAGTTTATTGTGCCAACCTGGCCGATGAACACACGTGGGATTAACTGAAGGGCAGAGAGGTAAATGGCTCGAAGAGCCTCACCCTTCTAGTTCTCGGATCTCTTGTTCTCAGATGGTCAGACCAGGGTGCAGCTGCCGTAGCAGTTCCCTGCTTTAGCTGGCAACGCTGACTTCCTGCAAGAATTCCCCAAGGAGAAGCCACATGGACCTACCCCAATGCAGCCCTGGGTGCTAGAGCAGCCACAGGGAGAACCCTGCCAGCGCTGAGATGCTTATACGCTCACTGACTTGGCTTTCCTCCTGCAGTCGGCATCATTGCATGTGTTATGTGAGATGGAGGAGGACTTTGTGGTGTTGGACATATGGGCTAATGTTGGACTTGTGGGCTTGGGCAGCACTGGGTTGGGATGTTTTCTTGATGTGCACTTACCCTTTATATAAAACTCTGTCTTATACATACAAGTTTCTGTAGATTTGATTCTCTAATGCACCCAGACTAACACAGTGATCATAAAAGCACATGCTTTGCAGTGAAAATTTTGAAAAAAAAAGACTTCATGCTTGTTCTCCCATTCCTGAGCCATGTGAACACGGACGGGCTACATACGCCTCATGGTCCTGGTTTCTGAGATGCAGGCTGTGGCTCAAACATTGCCCGGCACACAGCAGGTATTTAAGGAACGTTAGCTACTGACGACAATGACGACAATGATCATAACACCCACCCAAGGCATATTCAAGTTTATTGCCCAATCATGGGACACACGTATTAAATTGGGGAATAACAACAACGCTGTGCGGTGAGTGCTTCCATGTGTAAAACAAGCCAGCATCCCGAGGAAACACAAACTTGCTGCTTGACACGAGAACGCCTGCTAGATGTCTGATTATGACCAAACTCCCTAAATCGGAAGCAGCAACTCAAAAGACTTACTGTTAGTTTTATGGCCTTCTCTGGGGCGACTCCCAATAACTGTGGCAACAGACCTAAAGGAACATAAAAAGCAGAAGTATTTTGAACACATGAGCATTAAGGAAACAAATCAACAGCTCTCCTGAGGGGCTCTCCACCTCCAGACGGGCGAGCTTGGCAGCACTTTTCTACGTCTACCTTCCATGAGCGTGAATGAAGTGGAATGCTGAAGAACAAACTTCACACAGCCTCACACCCTCAGGTGTTTACACTTCGCATCAATCCACAGGTATTGGCAATGTAGGAAATCTCACCAGCCTAAGAGGAATCGGCTACTGTCCCTCCTGCCCCTACACCGGAAACTTTATGGATTATATTCCCCCCCCCCCGAACACTTTTCTTATCCCAACACGTGGCACAGTTCAGTCCCTCACTCATTTACGATTCCTCAGTGGTGAGCAGACGGACCAGCAAGGTTCTAGCTCTGACAGGTCTCAGATGGAAGTGGGGAGAGGTCTTCCTGGGGCGGTGACCACAGGGAAACAAGCACTCTGGGAAGGGGCACAGCTAGGCAGAGTGGGACCTATCCAGCGGGCTTGATTTCTTTTAAGTTGGATGCGAAGTAATGAGAGGGTTTGAAGCAGGAAAGCGATGTGCTGATTCATATTTTTAAGAGAACGGCACCTGCTGTGTGGAAACAGACGTGTGTGTGTGTCCAAGGGTAGGTTGTAAGAGGGAACACTGAGTGTGAGTGTCTCTGCGATGTCTGCTCCTGTACCACTGGCGGAGGTGAGCAGCGATGTGGGAAGTCACAGGTGTGGGGTGAAAGTCACGCCTCTGCTCCGGATGCACCTGGGTTAAGACATCCATAAGATGCAGGGCACGTGGCAGGAAGGGACTGCTTTCAGGTTCGTTGGAATAGGGGACCTACATCACTGGACTAAAAATGCTACTATTTTCATTTATTCTTTCTAAGAAACAAGCAGGGGGGGGGAAAGCCCCAAACGAACACAAACCCTTTCCTTGGAAACACACTGAGCGAACTCTGAGGATCAGCGCGTGCTGTACTCGGTGTCATCCTGCTGCCTCCGAGAAGCGCGCAGGGCAGGTGAGCGTGGTTTTCAAATCCAGCTACACAAAGAAGCCCACTCACGACTTCTTCTGAGGGACGCCCCACAGAAGGGTCCACGGCTGAAAGTCACGAACTTACAGGATGTAGCCAGCTGAGGGATGTGTTTCGTTAGGCAGGATGAAGTTTCCCACCGAATCCAAGTTACACAGAAAGCTAACTCATAGGGGTCCTGGGGGTGCTATGGCTGTGGTGCTGGGTGGTTCACCGAGGAAGTCCATGGTTTGAAGTCATCAGTTGCTTGGCGTGACGGCGAAGAGGTGGCAAGGTTTACAGCTTCAGATCCCTGTGCAGCAATTCTCTCCTGTCCCATAGGGTTGCTATGAGTAGTATTCAACTTGAGAGCAGGTGTGTGTGTGTGTGTTATTTTTAATATAAAAGCACATAGGTGAGGTGAGCTGTCCACCTGGCAGGTAAGGGCCTGTTTCAACAGCACTGCAATCTCCAGAGGGGGAATGGGATTCCTCCCGGTAAATACACTCACTGGTGTCCCCTTCCCCGAAGTCTCCCCCAGGCCCTACTGCCTGCATCTCAATACGGTCGTGTGTGGGCTGTCGTTCACTACAGTTCTGAACCCTGCACCCCTACTCTACAACACGGAAGTACCCAGTCGACTGTGACAGCTTCGTGCCTTAGGAAAAAGCGAGAGAGCTGATTTCATTCACTAGAAGACAAGGATAAAACAATTCTTTAGAAACAGCTGGACTTCCTTAAAATTAGTTGCCCTAAGTTATCAAGCTAGGTGGTCAGTGCTGGGACCGTGGTTCAAATCTAAGCCATCTTCCTCAAGATTCTTTTTTTTTTTATCATTTTATTGGGACAATCAACTCTGCTGCACGCTTGATGTGCAACCAGGTCTGCATCTGCCCTCCAGCCTTGCTCGTTCACTTCTATAGCCTGTCTGGGCCAGGTAAGCATTCTTCCTCTGGCAGCTGTAGAGGCTGAGCCTCGCTCATTTCCAAGCTTGTTGGTGACTGGACAAGGAATAGCTCACTACCATGAACTCAATGCTGACTCACAGCAACCCTACCGGACAGAGCAGACCTGCTCCTGTGGGTTGCTGCGACTGTAACTCTTCAGGGCAGTAGAAAGCCTTGTCTTTCTCTCAGACCGCGGTTGCGATGAGTCAGAATTTTTTCAGGCAAGAAGTAGTTATCTTCAAAACGTGCAGTCCGTGAGTTCCGCAACCTGGGCCCTCTAGTGCTCAGTCAAGAGCCTTCTCTCCGGAGCCTGACTGCGGTATCCCTTCAAGACGATGGAGACAGAAGCACAAAGTGAGGAGATACTGGGTGCAAGTGGGAAAGCAGCCATCTGAAGCCTCGTATACGCACTGCCAGGAGGAAGTAAGAAGAACCCCAGCCGAACCAGCAAGCTAACCCAGCAGAGAGAGTGCTCAGCAAAAGGAATGAAGGCACCAGAGGGCCCCCAATGCACAACGATACAGTGCTGAGCTCAGGCTCCAAGGGAGCGCTGCACTCGGATGTCCATGGGCTCTGCCTCCCATCTGCCCCGACGCTCACTAGTTGACTGGGATGTGTCCTTCACGATTCAGATGGCCCGAAGCAGCAAATGAAGCAAGACAGGAATAAGGAGCCACGAGGACAAAGCCACCGCTCTCATTCAAAGCAAGCCTTCCCTGCCCCTCGACCGAACACTCCCGCAGTTCAACCGCAGGACTGTGGCTTTCCACACCACAGTCAGGGTGCCTCAGGGGCAGCCACTGCCTGCCTGCCAGTGGACACTTGGGTGTTGCCAAGACGCTGAACAAGTTTCAGTGGAGCTTCCAGACTAGGATGGACTATAAAAAGAAATGCCTGGTAGTTGCTTGCGAAAATCATCCAATGAAAACCCCATGGGGCACAAGGGTCTGCTTGATCATGGAGATGGTGCGGGAGCAGGCTCCACTGAGCCCAGCATCACCAATGTGGACCCGAGGTGTGACCACTAACAACTGCCACCACTACTACAAACTACATTCACTTGTAAATCTCTTAATAAGGAACCTGCAATACCAGAGGAAAGGGCTCCTTATTCCTTGATGAAAGATCATCATTAATTTCCACTATGTGAGAATGAGCTGTTTAAACTACATCTTAACATGTAAAATTTCCATTCTGTGCTATGGAATTCAGGCCAAGAACCAAAATGTTCAGATAAATATTTACGTGCCGGATATATTTGTTTCGCCATTCAATTAGAGACCAAACTGTGGATGGGTTAAAAGCAATGTGATTTAAATAATGATCTCTTGTCTCCTTAGCTACCCTGTGGCAGTCTTTTTAAATGACTAATAAAAAACAGCCACAGAGTCAATTAACTACAGTGCTACATATAATCACTTCCCCTAGCCTGTCAAGGTACTGCTATCTGTCTTTCCCAAGAGAAATTAAATAATAGCGTTAAAAGCTAAACCAACCAACCCTAAACCACTACCACTCTGACCACCCCAAAAACACGACTATATTTAGGACGACGATGAAGGGAAGGCACGTGTGTGTGTTCAGCAAACATGTAGCCAAAGGGGTCTGCGTTCCTGATCCTGGGGGGTGCCAGGATGGACACAATAAGATCTGTGCTTTTCTCTTGGGAAATTCTCATTTTAGAGGGAAAAGAATAGAAGGAAATGCCAAGTGCTTCCGAACACTAGCAGGGACCAGGCACTTAAAGACAGAGCACTGGCGGCACAGCCCAGAACACAGATGCGTTTGGGGTGTGGAGCATGCCAGCGCTCTGCCTGCGGGACGCAAGCATAGAAGGAGTGGAGATGGTTCAGCTGCAGCTTCAGGAGCACACGCGTGTTCACCATAGAGGAGAGGGGTGAAAAGAGGAGTAAACTGTCCAGATTAGAGGGCACGCACACATAGGCCAAAAGTCCTCAGGACCATGGTACACTCCAGCTTGGGAGCAAAAGCACTGGAGGCTATGGTGAGATGAGAGGAAGACCTTCTAATAAATAGTCATGATGATTTTAATAATACCCACGGCCAACGTTTAAGGACACTTACTATGTGCCAAGCACTATTCTGTGTGTTTTACATGTATCAACACATATAACCACACAATAACATTCCTCAGTGGGTGTTCTTTGTATCTCTATAAACAGATGAAAAGACTGGGGCTGACTTTAGGGACCTGCCACGGTCAGCTGGTAGAGGAGCGAGTAACACACAGCTTCCATCACCGGCCACCAAAGGGGGCTTGGTCTACAGCTTGAACTCACGAGGGGGTTTGTAAAGAAAGGGGTGAGATCAACTGCATGTTCACCAAGTAAAAAGTCCAAGAGGCAGAAGGGCAGATGGCAAGGGCAGAGATCTGAGGCAAGGAGAGCAATAAGAGGGTTAAAGAAATATAATCCGAGGCCCTTAATTTCACGAGGATCAATGACAGCTATGAACTGATCAAGAACAAAGCCAAAGCACCAATCCATTTTTAGTACCTGGCACCCAAGGAGGTGCTGGTTGAGCATTATTCTTACGGTAACTACTCTCTCTGGCTAATAAGGGAAAAGAACATGGCTGCTGACATCAGCCTTGACACCACTGGTCTTGGGCAAATGCCCTTTGAGAAAGTGGACATTGAGAAGTCACAGAGGAGACAATCCCCACGCGTCACCTGGAGGAGGGATCAACCACATGGCTCACTAACTGGCCAATCCAGTTAAAGCACTTCATTGTGATCACGTTTAAGTTTAAAGTTTATACACATCTGACATCTGGGTGCCCCAGCAAGGAAATCTGTTTCTGCTTGGTGCTGGAAATTCATTTTAGCTATTAGAAGCAGAACGGCACTGTGTGTTCCCTCTCTCTAACTCCTCACAACAGCAGTGGATTTCCCAACGGGCGCAAATGAAATTTATTACTGTGGTCACTTTTCTATCTTTTTCTTTTGAGTTCAGCGCCACCAGCACACATGGCAATACTTCCTTGGCAGAGTTTACATGCTTCC